TTTTCCGGCGGTTTCGGTGTACTGCTGAGGAGGGATGGTTGCAGAGGCGTAAGATGTGACTTACACAAAATATCTTTGTAATTTGCAATGCTCCGTGTATCCTTTTTCAGTCGCAGACATTTATAGACGATATCTGACGTTACAAGCGCTAAGTACATTCGTCTTTACTTTGTTCAAACTGAATCTGTCAGGTATGTTAAAAGCGATCACATTTTTTACTCTACGGGTTGTTTCATGTACCTCTGAGGTGATGGAGTCGATTAGTTGGGCTGCCTTTCTGTGGTGAATATGACCAAACTTATCAGATGGATTGCTAATGTAATCTAGTGAAACTAAGTGATGTTTGAGGGGTTCATAGAAGGTCAAAATGTTCTTCATTTCGTCGAGCTATGATTGCAAGGAGCAGACTTTAGAGCTAAGTTCAGATGGGAGCTGAGAGGCCGGAGAAGAATAGTCTAATGGTAGCTTTAGGGCATTACATTTTAATCGTTCGGGCCGTGGCACATAGGGTACATTGTCCTTAGGTAGCCGAGTACGTTTGAACTTCGGTGGGGCCATAGCAAACCAGGTGTCAACACAGATTAATGGGGTAGAGGGAACGTGACAAAACCAACCTGTTCTGACTTGATTCAATGCATCTTGGTTTCGGATCACGCGGTCGACGAAACGCCACACCGTCGGGTGACTGTTGGTGTGAGTTGTAATCTGGCCAGCGAAGTGATCGCGGCCGGGCGGCGCCATTGAGACAATGGCAGGATATATCGATCGTCACCGACCGAGAGATGGCCTGTGCAAGCAACTATGGTGCTACATCCGCCTGAGGCAGAGTGAACTGTTTGTAGGTGCAACTTATCGCAACCAGCGAAGTCGATGTCTGGATCGGTTGCCTCAGGTAAGAAAGTACATGAGTCGGCCGCACTTCCTGCTTATGGACGATTTTAACTTCCCTTGAATACTATGGCCTGAGGCCCAACTTCTCCCCGCACACTGTGAAATCGGGGTGCTATTTGCGGAGATAATATTTAAAACCGGGGCAGCATATGTCTGCCAACTGACGCACGTTATACCGCATTCCGCTCCGTTGTGCCTGGGCCTACTAATAACGAGTTGCGAACAACGTGTATATGAAATTCAGGTCCTGGAGCCTCTAACAACTAGCGACAACCCGATTGTTTTAGTCAACCTTGAGCTACCGCTGCCCTTCTGGCGTCCGTTGGAGCCGTCGTACAATTACTGGAAGACGGCCTTCGAAGATCTCAATCGAGCCGCCGGTGAATTGGATCTATTGCTACCGCAGGATTCATCTGGTAAAGACTTGTTCTTTCATAAAAGAGGGTGTGCAATCCTTAGTCGCACATTTCGTGCCCCCTAAAATATAGGAAAGCTGGACCAGTGAAACCACAACGGTTCGAGAGAGAATATGGCCAATCGGCTCGTCGACGACGCGTATTGTTGAATAAATTCCTCGTGTCTGGCTCTACCGACGACTATGCGGCGCACAAACGGCAGCAAAATCGTTGTAACAGCGCAAAAGTGCGAAAGCGTCGGCAATTCGAAGAGCAGCTTGCAACCTCAGCGAAGACAGCCCCCAGGAGGATTTTTGCTCATGTGAAGTGGTACCTGAGGCGCGCAAATGACATAGCTGTGTTATAGGGCGCTGACGGATAGCCTCTGACCTCCAGCACTGAACATGCGTCCGCATTGGCATAGCACATCTCCTTCGTATTCACAAGTGGGCATGCTCCTATGCCGAGCTCGACGTGTGCAGCCACTATTGAACTTGATGGCCTGGATTGCGGTGTAGAAGATATCTACAGTTTACTTAAAAGTCTTGACGTCACGAAATCTGTAGGACCCGATGAACTACACCAGCTTATCTTAAAGTGCATATCGGACATCATCTAGCCTGCCTTGGCAGATCTGTTCAACAGCTCGATGTTCGATGGTGCATTGCCGAGCAAATGGAAATGATCGGTAGTGCAGCAGATTCCAAGAGGCGATGACCCACGCAATGTGGATAATTACCGGCCGATTTGTCTCACCTCTGTTTTAACGAAGGTGCTCGATAAGATTGTGAAACTGTGTCTTCCCCTGCTGTTAGAGTCGAAAGATCTCCTAAAGCTGGCCTAGCACGGCATCATGAAGGGTCGCTCCTGCATCACCAACCTGCTGTTGACGCAGCAGAAATGATTGCAAGCGCTGAACCGGGAAAAATCAATGGATGTTATCTCCATTTATTTCAGTAAAGCCTCCGATAAAGCGAACCTTGAGGTCCTGCTCCACAAGCTGATGATGTGTGGTGGATCACTGACCTTATTGGAAACAGATGACATCTACAGGTGGATGACCACCTAAGTGACTAGTAATTGTTCACTAGCGGTGTAAACCAAGATACAGTACGGGGTCAATTTTGTTCTTGATCCACATCAAGGAGGTGCACTGGCTTCTGCATGATCGCATCCTAACAATGTAAATTCGGTTTTCCCACGTGCCGCTTCCATGCACTGGTTGGCCATCCAGCTGCTGTTTCGGTATCCGCATCGATTCCATGCGGCTCACATGACCGAGCCAACTCAAGGGACTCAGCAAAAGGTATGCAGTCCACTGCATATATTCCACTTCGGCGCAACACCTCGTGTCTGCAACTCTGTCGCAACAACCGATGCGCAGAATCCGTCGCAGACACTGTTGATGAAAACACTTGAGATATGGCACATCTCACCGGCACTTTGTCCATGTTTCGCTGCCGTATAGAAGAATGGACAGCACCATGGATTTGTAAACTATCCACTTTGTGCCGACGGTAAACTGGTGGTTATTCCACACATGGTACTCACGCTTATAGACTTTACAGGACATGGCTCACAGTAGACATCAGTGGCACGTCAGCTGACGTCTCCTAATCGGATGGCCTGTTTAAAGTGTGTGTGGTGCTGAGTTATCTGCGGGGTAATGGCTAATTATGACACTTGGCAGTGAAAGCCGCAAGGAAGCTGTCTCGTCGATGCCGCCTTATCTTTGCACGATAGCCAGCTGTTTGTGACGGTATGTTGTCTACACAAGGTGTAGGCGTCTTGACCCTGAATGTTTGCTTAGGGTATTACGGTTTTCAGGTAAGTCCCCCTTCTCTCCCTCTTCTTATTCTTTATTTCATATGTCGTCATTGTTGTATGGCAGCGAAGCATCAGTTCAATTGGCTGATGTACTACTGTTGATGATGATGATGATGATGACTCACGCTTACCGAATGCCGCCGCTGTCCTCGACACTCTGATATGCAGTTCACTGCGTATCTGCTTGTCAGTCCACACCATACACGTGGTGGCAGAAGCGCGAAATGGTTTCTAATACGCCGATTTGCTGATTTGCGACAACATGGAAGATTGCATCTCCGGTGAAGGCTGAAAGAGAAGGAGAGTTCTGCTTGTGTTGATGGTGTGTCGGAATTTGGTCGCTGTCGAAGCCAAAACACTGGTAAGGTTAC